AAAAAAAAAAAAAAATTAGAACTGAGAGATTTGACACAGTGGCAGGATATAAGATCAACATCCAAAAATCAATTGGATTCCTCTACACCAGCAAAAGGATGGCTGAAAATGAAATAAGGAAATCAATACCATTTATAATAGCTACCAAAAGAAAAAAATTAAATACTTGATAATAAATCTCACTAGAGATACAAAAGATAACTATAAAACACTACCTCAAGAAACCATTAGAGATCTACATAAATGGAAGAACATCGCATGCTTGTAGATAGGAAGATTGAACAATGTGCAAATGCCAATACAATCCAAAGCAATCTATACATTCAATGCAATCCCAATCCAGATCCCATCAACATTCTTTAGGGATATGGAAAAAACAATCACTAACTTTATGTGGAAAGGAAAGAGATCTCAGATAAGCAAAGCACTACTGAAGAAGACCAACAAAGTAGAAGGTCTCAGACTCCTGGATCTCAAAACCTAGTATATAGCCACAGTAGTCAAAACTTCCCAGTATTGGTACAACAACAGACACACAGACACACAGACCAGTGGAACAGAATAGAGAAGCCATAAATAGATCCAACAACCTATGGTCTGCTGATTTTTGCAAAGGGCTGAAATCCATTAGCTGGCGAAGAGATGGTCTGTTTAATAACTGGTGCTGGCAAAACTAGATATCCATTTGCAGAAAAATGAAACAAGATCTGTACCTCACACCATACACGAAAACGAACTCCCGATGAATCCAAGACTTAAATGTGAAACCTAAAATTATTAAGTTCCCCAAGGGAAAAATAGGGGCCCTCATTTATGGCATAAATAGACTGTCAAGCATAACCCAAAATGAACAAACAGCAGAAGATAAACTAGATGAAAGGGACCTTCTAAAAATTACATTTTTATGTGCTTCCAAAGATTTCACCCAAAAGAATAAAAAGAGAATCTACAGATTGGGAAAAAATATTCAGCAATGACATATATCTGACAAGGAACTTATCTCTTAAATTTATAGAAAACGCCACCTCAACAACAAAAAGACAAACAGTCCAATTAAAAATGAGCAGAAGACATGAATAGACACTTCACCAAAGAGGATACTCAGCCGACCAACAAACACATGAAGAAATGTTCACGATCATTAGCCATTAGAGAAATGCAAATCAAAACAACAATGAGGTACCATCTTGTCCCAACACTAATAGCAAAGTTCAATATGACAGAAAATAACAAATGCTGGCAAGGATGTGGAGAGATTGGGACTCTCATACACTGCTGGTAGGACTGTCAAATGATACCACTGTGGAAAGCAATGCAGCAATTCCTTAAAAAGTTGGAATTAACCATATGATCCAGCAATCCTATTACTAGGTACATATCCTAAAGAAGTGAGAGCCAGGACAAGGACAGATATGTGCACACCCATGTTCATCACAGCACTATTTACAATAACAAAAAGATAGAAACCACCTACATGCCTATCAACAGAAGAATGGATAACTAAACTATGCTATATAGACATGATGGAATACTATGCAACACTAAAGGATAATGTAGAATCTGTAAAACACTGCATAATGTGGATGAACATGGTGGACATTATGCTGAATGAAATAAGTCAGTCACAGAAGGACAAGTACTGTATTAGTTCATTTTGTAAAAAGTCAAAGAAAGGTTTCTATATGGAAGGAAACTTTCTTGGTTACCAAGGGTAGGAGGGAAGAGGAAGAAACACTGCAAAAATATTAAAAATTAAAAAAAAAAAAAACCACACAGTATCTAAACAGCACAATAAAGCAAACACAATTTAAAAAAATGCTGCCGGCAAAAGTGGATATCCATATCCAAAATGAAACAAGATCCATACCTCACACCATACCAAAAAAAAAAATTCCCTTTTCCAAAAAAGCAAAGGATGCATTTAAGTAGGATTTATTGCCACAGAATGTTTCCAACCAGACTTCTTTGTTACCTACATCAATAAACTTTGACTAGTCAGAACTGGGTGGAGCTATGAAAAACCCAGCCCCTTTTGAAATATACTAAAGCAGACAATTAAAGCCTGCAACAACAAAGAGAGCAAGATCTGAAAACCTTTCTGGATATCCTTTATTTATAGTGAAGAGCCTAATTTTAACACACTTGAACCATGCTTGAAAAAGCCAAGTGTACAGGAACAGGTCCTTTCTGCATTAGCCTGCTCCAGGCCTCCCTCAAAGACTGTGGTAGTTTCAGATGGCTGTTGTGCAGGCCATAATGATCCCTGTGGCCACCTTCCCATGGAAACGGGGGGCGGGGGGGAACCTAAGATCCCAGATCACCTAGACTTGGAATGAGCTGCATGGTTGTCAGGGAAAAATGTAATTGGTGGGGTTGGGGGAAGGGGTGGGCTTTCCCACTGTGACCGTCATGAGGACACATCCAGCATCCCTGAAAATGGTGACTCCTGGCTGCTGGGTTCATATAGTCCAAGGAGTGGTCAGCTTCTTCACCTGTGTCTGATCCCTTTCCTGTCTCTGCCTTTTCCACATCACCTACAGCTGCCTTACCTCAAAGCCAGAGAAGCTCAACACCGTCGAGTGAAATTGGAGCAACACCCCCAGGCAGTCCCCACCACATCCTAACCTGGCAGACTGGGTGAGTTTCCTTTTCAGACCTTTAATCTTCCTCTTCCAGGTTCTAGACTGATCATTAATAATTCCTCATCAGTTAGGAAGAGGGTAGGAATGCATAAGATTCTAGTGACATAGGATTTAGCAACAAAATACTGATGAGAGTTCTTCTTCACTGGGAAAACAAGAAGTGAGGACTGTGTACGTGTAACTTTCCTTTCAAAAGAAGTACCATGAGTTGCTGTTATCTCCCACCCCTCTCCATCGCCATCCCTTTATACCAGGTGAATTATATTTCCTCTCTTTTAAGTAGGTGGTTGCTTCCAGAACTGGGCTTCTTTGATAAGAATTCTGGATAATATTGGCCCCCATTAGATTGTGACTTCTCAGCATTTGACCTGGGTACTGATCATACCCAGGCAGACTTCATACTGCCAGGCAAGAATGAGAAAAGGAAGAAAGAAGCCTCATATGTATTAAGCACTTCCTTGTGCTGGGTCCTGGGCCAGATGTTTTTTATGCTTCTCCATGTATTCACTGTCTTAGTAGCAGGATGTGTCTTAGGAAAAAGCAGGAGGTTCAGACCCCATCCCTATCCTTGCCAGGCACTTGTTCTCAATCAAAAAACCAAAGGGATCAAATACTTGAGTTTTTTGTTCAGGGTGATGAAAAACTTTTGAAAGTACGTAATATCGTGATGGTAGCACAAAGTGGTGAATGTAAATAATGCCATTGAATTGTACACTTAAAAATGGGTAAAATAGCAAAATTCTTTGTGATATACATTTTACCACAATTAATACATATTTTTTAAAAAAAGGAATCAAGTACCTTGAGACCTTTGAGTAGAAATTGCCCATGAAAAAATAATAAAGCCAAAACTTGGCTCATTTTATAGCTTTAAATATAGACACAGAGCATTGTAATCTAGTGAACATTTGCAATGTTGTAGCCAGTGAAGAATCAAGTGGAGAGACTCAACCTGCTTTCCTTTGCTCTGTTGGTTCTAAGAACTTGCCTCTAAAGTAGATGCTAAATTCTATCAATACCTATTGGTTAAAGGAGTGAAGGGTCCCTTTACCCAGCTGTTTAATCAGTTTCTAGTTTGCTGGGGATGTCTGGAAAAAATTGACTTTTGTCTCTGAGTTGAATCATTAGAAAACAACAGAATGTAATTTGCCAGAAAGGACTCTACTACCTGCAATTCGGGCCCAGGCTTGGCGGACATTTTTTGTTCCTGCATGTGTATCAGCAGTAACTTTAAACCAGGCTTAATGGAGCTTTTGTTTTTAATGGAAGAGAAGGGGAGCTAAAGTTTATCGAGTGCTTGCTGGGCATTCAAAAGCTGAGGAGCTTCTTCTAATATGCATTAGCTCTTACAATCCTCATAGCAACCTTGCAAGGAACATATCCTGTATCTTCTCATTTTCAGAGCTGATGCTCAGAGAAAATTTAAAAAGTGCCTTGCCCAAAGCCACACAGCTCGTAAAGGGTGGAGCTGGAATTTCAGCTCTGCTCTGTGGGACCCCAACCTCCTGTCTTTTTCACTACACTGGTGGTTCTCAAAGGAGCTCTGGTAGTGTAGTGGTTAAAGTATTTGGCTGCTAACCACAAAGTCAGTGGTTTGAACCCACTAGCTGCTCTGCAGAAGATGAAGCAGTCTGTTTCCATAAAGATTTTCAGCTTTGGAAACCCACTGGGAGAGTCACTGTGAGTCAGAAGTGACTCAATGGCAGTGAGTTTGGTTTGGGTTTGGTTGTTCTCACAGTGTAGTTTCCAGACTTTCAGCATCAGCATCACCTGGGATCTTGTTAAACCCATCCAGTTGCTGTCAAGTCTGTTCCAACTCAGAGTGGCTCCATGTGCATCAGGAGAGAACTGTGCTCCATACGCTTTTCCATTGGCTGATTTTTCAGAAGTAGATCATGACACCTTTGAGTTAGTAGCTGAGTGAGTTAAACATTTACACTACCCAGGAACTCTGGGATATTGTTAGAAATTCACATTCTCAGGTCCATTTATGACCTACTGAATTGAACACTATGGAGGTAGGGCCAAGCAATCTGTTTTATGTTTTAACAAGCCCTCCAGGTGGATCTCATATTTGCTCAAGTTTGACAACCACTGAACTATCTCATGCTGCCTCTTAATCTTTTTTTTTGAATTAGGATGACCTGTAGGGTCCCAATTACAATGTTCTTGCATCCACTACTACTTCTTGGTCTGTTTTGCTCTGGCAGCATAGTGGATACGGCATCTGGTTGCTAACCAGAAGGCCAGTAGTTCAAATCTACTCGCTGCTCTGCTGGAAAAAGATAAGGCTATCTACTTCCATAGAGAGCTCTGGTAGCATAGTGCCTAAGACACTTGACTGCTAACTAGAAGGCTGGCAGTTCAAACCCACCAGCCACTCCTTGGAAGGAAGATGGGGCAATCTGCTTCCATAGTGATACCACCTCAGAAACCCAAGGAGGGGTCGCTATGAGTCGGGTCCGACTCGACGGCTCCTAACAACAACAACAACATCTACTTCCATAAAGATTTACAGCCTTGGAAACCCAATGGGTGTCGCTATGAGTCAGAATCAACTCGATGGCAGTGGGTTTTTGGTTTAGCTACCCCTCAACCTCTCAGTCCTTATTATCACCAAATCATTAAAAACACTCACTTCCATACCATCCACATCCCAGCTCTGACTGGTACCCAGGCAGCCAGCCTGGGGTAAGGCCTAGAGTCCAAGAGTCTTACCATGTGGGAGAAGAAAGAATGTCACATCTCCTATTGTATATGGAACTTCCAGTGGCTAAACCATTTCATCTCAGAAAAGGAACTTTAGATCTTGAGATACCTCTCTGCAGCCTCCAAATGTCTCAGATCATGCCCATTCTCACCTGATACATGATTATATTATTTGACTGACAACACACTGAACTATGAGTGCCCCTCATATGCCTACACACTTAGCTTGTTTTGAAACCTGCCTGGGTTTTACCACATACAACAAGTGAGGACTCCAGACAAATTTGAAAGCCAAAGGCCTTGAACTAAGCTCTCTTATCAGGCTGAATTATCATTAACAAACAGTAATTGTTCTATAGGATGTGATGAGAAGATGTGAATATAGGTAAAAAGTGCCCAGGCCTGCCTTCCTAACAAAACAAAAGAGATCTTTTGACTCAATCATGAGAGTTGAAAGGTCTGCATGACAACTTATATTATTTGTCACTAACACTTGGGTGTATAATCAACTGATCTTTCCAGTGTATTACTAAGCTATTAATCATGTCCATGTCAATTCCTCTCTTTAACAAGACTTCTCTTCTCTTCCTTCCTCTGCTTTCCTTTGTTCAGAGAAACAACAGAAAACTCACCCATTATGGATGGGTCTGAGTCTCCAACTCACCAAAGTACTGATGAATAGAGGTATCGTAAGGGAATGTTTTGTTCTTACAATCCTTGCCCCTTCCCTGTCCATAAAAGTTTGTGATTCCAGATGTACTGCAGATGTGTTGACTTTACCCATGCCATAATTTCCAGAAGGAAACATCTGAATAGTGTGGAAGCCATTATTTTTTATGTCCTGTTTCGAGATACATGTGGAACTATATGTTTATATGTATGTTTCAACATCAGAGGTTAGATATCCCCAATGCTACTTCCCAGAAAAGACCCCAAAGTATGTTTTAGACCTTTCCAGGCTCTAAAGGCATCCACATATTTGTAGATGTTTCTCCTGGTATAGTAATTGACAACCATGAGAAGAATAGCATCACTGCAAGTTAAGTTTCCATGCACCAAGGGCAGGCCAAATTTATGTAGAAGCACCTGAAGACCACCTCTGAGTTCACTCTGCATTCTGGAGTGACAGCTGTGTGCTGTACCACATGCTGTGGAACCTACTTTTCAAAATGTGGTCCATAGACTAGCATCCTCCTCCTCATCATCACCTGGGAGCATCTTAGGTAGACTCCTAGCACCACTCTAGCCTACTGAATCAGAATCTGCATTTTAAAGACATATAAGATTGAAATTTGCAAGGCACTGCCATAGTGTATATAAAACAGAAACACCTGGCTTGGTTCCTATCCCCTGCAGCTTTATGATCTTTCTGGGAAACAAGAAATTAAATAGCACTTCAAGGGATAACTAATAAGATAAAGATACAATTCAAAAGAGGAAGAAAAGCTTTAAATCTAGTCAATCAGAACATTCATCCATATAATGCAAATATATCCGTGAATGTGGTAGAGCATATAGGCAGCAAAGGTATGAAAACTTACTGGAATTTTTTTTTTTCAATTGATCCCTTATTATATTCCAAGAAGCCCATGTAATACAGTAGTTAAAGCACTTGGCTGCTAACCAAAAGATCGGTGGTTTGAAACCCCCAGCCACCCCATGGGAGAAAGATGAGGCAGCCTGCTTACATGAAGATTTACAGCCTTAAAAACCTTATGAGGCAGTTCTACTCTGTGTCAGAATCAACTCAAAGGTGGTGGGGTTTATTATAGTCCAGGAACCATGCTATACAACGGAGTTCCTATGGTTAAGAATTTGAAAATTTATTAGAAGAAATAAGAGGGAAATAAGAAACCACAGCCCTTATGCATTAAGTGCTCTAAGACATGAAAACAAAGAAACAAAGTCAGAGGCAAGAGGGCTCACTTCCAACTTCATGGAAAGGCTTGGAGAGCCTGACTTTAAAGGCATGTGGGGGAGGGGATGATTAGCCAGGTGGAGATGGGAGAGGCCATGCAGGGAAAAATCAGATGCAGAAACAAACAGGCACACGTGGGGAACAGCAAAGGGTCTCATTTTGCTGTAGAGGAGGAGCCAGACTTCAGCCTGAAAAGTGGGCTAGGACAAGAGCATGAACAGATCGAGAGATATGTAGAATAATTTGTACTGCAAGTCCCCAGAGTTGGCAGGTGTGGAATTAGGAAAGCAGGGGCTTAGCCTTTGAATGGAAGACAGACACGGTGTCCTCTGAAGCCAGAGAAAAGAAGAAAGGGATGGGTGAAGGCAGAGAAAATTAGAGATAGAACACTGTCACGAGAGCAATACTTTTGAGTAAAAACTATTGTCCTTTTGTTGTTGTTCCTTCAATACAAAGAGCACAATCATCTGCTAAGGGTCATGGAGGCAGGGATGAGAGTGGGAACTTGAGGATGTATAGGTTGGAAAGGGCTGTTAAGGAGATGTAGTGGAGTCAGCTTGAAATGATTAGACAGGGTGGCTTTTCATGAGCCTAGTCCTCCAGGCCTGTGACCACCTGCAGCACATTCTACAACCCAAGCATGTACCACCACTTGTTTGGGTTTTTTTCCCCTAAGTTAATTCATATATCTCAGCATTTAGTAAGGTATGAAGATAACACATTGCTTAAATGTACATTTCCAAAATCAATTTATAAAAACCCCACTGCCATCAAGTCAATTCCAACTCATAGTGACTCTGCAGGACAGAGTAGAACTGCCCCATAGGGTTTTCAAGGCTGTAACCTTTATGGAAGCAGACTGCCTCATGTTTTTCCCACCGAGTGACTGGTGGGTTTGAACCACCAACCTTTTGGTTAGCCGAGTGCATAACCACTACACCACCAGGGTCCCTTAATCAGTTTATAAAATTTACAAAAAATAATTCTATTGAAATTCCTTACCTCAAGATCTTAGCATTGCATTTTTGTTAAGCTCCCAGTTAACCAGTTTCCATCGAGTCAATTCCAGGTCATGCTACAAACTAAAAGGTGAGTGATGGAGGCTCATGTGCACATTAGGGGCCTGGCCTCAGCCAGTCCCCTGCAGGCTGTGGTGTCTGTGCGAGTAATCCCTAGGTAGAAGTGTCCTTGCAGACAGCTACAGCTCCTAGTGGAAAGCCTCCCAGGAAGTCCTTAAACAGACCTAGAAGAGCCCAGGCTCACTCCTGATGTGTGCACAGTTCACACTTTGAGACCCACAGAAGCTGGGAACACACCCAGCTCTGCACTGTATCCCTGACTCATGTTCTAGGGAATAACTTACATAGGTTTACTAAAAAACAACAAAAAAAAGATGCCAACCAGTCATCTCAGACTCATGGTGACCCCATGTGCATCAGGGTAGAATGGTGCTTGCAGGGTTGTTGTTTTTGTTTGTTTTTAATTCTGATTTAGGTGAAAGTTTACAGAGAAAATTGGCTTTCCATTCAACAATTCATACACATTTTGTTTGTGACACTGATAGCAGTCCCCACAGTATAACAACACTCTTCCCACTTCCTCCCTGTGTTTCCCATTTCCATTCATCCATCTTTCCTATCCCCTCCTGCCTTCTGAGCTTTATCCCTGGGCAAATCCTGCCCTTTTGGTTTCATATGGCTTACTGTTCTAAGAAGTGCATACTTCCCTGCTGTTACTGTTCACCATACAGGCCTATCATTTGGCTGAAAGCTGAGCCATGAGGATTAATTCAGTTCCAGACTTGAAGTGTGTCTAAGGGCCATAGTCTCAGGGTTCCACCAGTCTCTATGAGACCAGAGAGCCTGGTCTTTTTTATGGCTCTTACAGGGTTTTTGGTGGCTGATTTTACAAAAATAGATCACCTGCCTTTCTTTCACCCAGAGGTGGCTCTGGGTAGACTCAAACCTCCAGCCTTCGGGTTAGCAGCAGAGTGTATTAACCATTTGCACTACCAAGGAACTCCTGTGTTTCCTAGGGGTACTATCTATTGCCACCCCGTTTGCATTATTTGTTTAGAATAATTACTTCCTCAGTGGTCTGTATTGTTAATTTTTGTTCCTGAGCCTGTGGCATTTCTCAACTATTAGCGTAAACCTGAATCTACTGAGTAAGAAACGAAGGTTTGGAGGAGTAGCCAGAAGGAGGGTTTCTTCCCCATAACTTCAGAATAAGATGCAGACATATTAAGCTACACTCATAGCTTTAAAAACCACCTTAGATACTTTAATGGCAATGAGAAATCACTAAGAAAGATTCTGTGGACCTTTTTTAAAAAGATTTGCTTGACATTCCAGTAAGATGGCAAAATAGGCAGAAGGACTGCACAGACTCTCTTCAACAAAGAAAAGGAGAACCAATTAACACAGATACAGAAGATAATCCTGGACCCCTGAGCCTTGAAGGGAAGGATATAGAAGAAGACTAAACTCCAACTAGCATAAGAATCTACATGAAAACACAAAAAAAGGAGACATATGGAGCTGTGCTCTGGCAGTGATCCTGACGGCACAGACAGCTTAGATATTGCTGAATGGTGGTAGGACCTAAGAATTAACCTAAAAATTGGCCCTGCTAGCCAGGGACTGCACGGAGGACTGCTCTGGTGGCTGGTGAATAAAAGGGGAAGGAGCAGAAAGGCAGGCAGGACTTTTGCCTGTCCGGAGGGCATAGCCATTTTGAAAGTTTACAAGCGACTTGACCATTTTGGATATTTAAAGCAACAGCATTCTCCGAGATTCCAGGAACTTAAGAACAACAGGCTCCACTTGCCGGAACCGCAAGGACATTCCAGATGCACGGCCTACTGGAAAGGTGCGACATTCCCCTTGTTACTTTTATACCTCACATCCTCTTGGTGAAAGTAGGTGCAGCCATCCCTCACTCCCACCCACCCCCTGGGCCAGCAGGAATTCCATCCCAGTCTGTGTGCTCTGACAGAGCCTGGGTGCCCTGCCCCTCCCCGATTTTTTTTTTTTCCTTTTTTCTGTTTTTTAGTTTGTTTGTTTTTGTCTGATTTAAAACTACTACTATTATTATTACTTTTGTCCTTTTTACTGTTATTCTTTATTCTTCCCCTCCCAGGTTCTAGTGTTCGGCGTTTATTCTTTTCCCTGTTCCTGGTTGCAATTTTTTTCTCTTTCTCATGGTTAAACCCATTCCTTGTTTTTCTCTCAGCATTTTTCTCATTTTTTTCATTATCTACTTCTATACCTTTTTTCTCTTACTGTCCTCTCCCCAGATACATTTTTTTTTTTAATTATTTTTGTTCTCCTTTTCCCTTTTTTCTTTTTTTGGTCCTGTGTGATTACATGGTGTGGGTTTTGTAAATGTACTTTTACTTTTTTGATGGTTATTCAATTGTTATTTTTGCCTAACTGAGTGGAAGACAGCAACAGTCCCCATATGACACAACTACACCCACATCTCCTGCAGCTTCATTTACTGAGTGAGCTGAGTGAGAGCCACCACCTCCTTCTCCACCAACAGGCCAACAATAAACCACCACCAAGAAGAACCTGAATCACCCTTGGCTGTTCTTCACAAACAGTTACCAGAGATATATATACACAACAATGCCACGACGTCTCGGAGACAACAGATCATCACAGTCCACGCAAAGAAGCAACATACAGTGCTAGAAACAAGGGAGCAGAATACAGACCCAGAACACATCCCTAAGGAAGAAGCAGCATTAGAACTCTCTG